GAGGGGAAGTGGGGTACAAGTTGCAGCTGCTCCATGCTGCCGACAGTTATTTTGAGCAGGCAAATGGGGTTTGGGGGATGTTCACTAGGCTGGACAGATGCAGGGAGAGGAAAGGAATTGGGTAGAGTAGTATGTGCCCTCCATGGCATGGCTTGAAAACAGTCAGTAGTCAGGGCTTTAGCATGAGTCAGAAGTCAACTGCCTGGCCAGGACAGACGCCATTCTGAAAAAGTGTATCAGGTGTTGTGGAGGTGTAGTGCGTGGGTGGATGGCAGGGGAGAGGTGGGGGCTGAGAACTTGGAAAAGCTCTTAGCTTGTATGGAGCATGTGGCACCCAGAACAGAAGCTAGCACAGCAGTACAGTATAATATATTGTAAAAATAAATACTTAACATACTGACATTCTCTCCAAATGATCTGCCTCCTCAGTCCTGGCCTGGGTTTCTGGCTGGAGATTGGGCTTGCTTTCTACATGGCTGCCCTCAGAGAGAGCTCTTCGCTGTCTTCCTTGTGTTCCTCCTCCAATGACTCTTGCTTCTCGTCCTCAGGGAGTTTGGAAGGGGGGCAACAGGGTCCATAATGCTTGGTAGTGGTGTTATTGTTCAAAACCCTGTCCATCTCCTCAAAAAAAAAAAAATGGAGAGAGTACACTTTCACTTCCACACCATTCCCTGGTTTTAACGTAAGTCCTGAGTTACTAGAGCTACTGGTGCAGGAAGTGAAACCAGATATTATAGGGATAACAGAAACATGGTGGAATAGTAGTCATGACTGGAGTACAGGTATTGAAGGGCATGTGCTGTTTAGAAAAGACAGAAATAAAGGCAAAGGTGGTGGAGTAGCACTGTATATCAATGATGAGGTAGAATGTAAAGAAATAAGAAGCGATGGAATGGATAAGACAGAGTCCGTCTGGGCAAAAATTACATTGGGAAAGAAAACTACTAGAGCCCCACCCGTGATAGTGCTTGGGGTGTGCTATAGACCGCTGGGATCTAATTTGGATATGGATAGAGCCCTCTTTAATGTTTTTAATGAAGTAAATACTGATGGAAATTGCGTGATAATGGGAGACTTTAACTTCACAGATATAGACTGGAGGACAAGTGCTAGTAATAATAATAGGGCTCAGATTTTCCTAGATGCAATAGCTGATGGATTCCTTCCTCAAGTAGTTGCTGAACTGACAAGAGGGGACGCCATTTTAGATTTGGTTTTGGTGAGTAGTGAGGACCTCATAGAAGAAATGGTTGTAGGGGACAACCTTGGTTCAAGTGATCATGAGCTAATTCAGTTCAAACTAAATGGAAGGATAAACAAAAATAAATCTGTGACTAGGGTTTTTGATTTCAAAAGGGCTGACTTTCAAAAATTAAGGAAATTAGTTAGGGAAGTGGATTGGACTGAAGAATTTATGGATCTAAAGGCAGAGGAGGCCTGGGATTACTTCAAGTCAAAGCTGCAGAAGCTATCGGAAGCCTGCATCCCAAGAAAGGGGAAAAAATTCATAGGCAGGAGTTGTAGACCAAGCTGGATGAGCAAGCATCTCGGAGAGGTGATTAAGAAAAAGCAGAAAGCATACAGGGAGTGGAAGATGGGAGGGATCAGCAAGGAAAGCTACCTTATTGAGGCCAGAAGATGTAGGGATAAAGTGAGAGAGCCTAAAAGTCTAGTAGATTTGGACCTTGCAAAGGGAATTAAAACCAATAGTAAAAGGTTCTATAGCCATATAAATAAGAAGAAAACAAAGAAAGAGGAAGTGGGATCGCTAAACACTGAGGATGGAGTGGAGGTTAAGGATAATCTAGGCATGGCCCAATATCTAAACAAATACATTGCCTCGATCTTTAATAAAGCTAATGAGGATCTTAGGGATACTGGTAGCATGAGAAATGGGAATGAGGATATGGAGGTAGATATTACCATATCTGAGGTAGAAGCGAAACTCGAACAGCTTAATGAGACTACATAGGGGGGCCCAGATAATCTTCATCCAAGATTAAAGGAATTAGCACATGAAATTGCAAGCCCATTAGCAAGAATTTTTAATGAATCTGTAAACTCAAAGGTTGTACTGTATGACTGGAGAATTGCTAACATAGTTCCTATTTTTAAGAAAGGAAATAAAAGTGATCTGGGTAATTACAGATCTGTAAATTTGACATCTGTAGTATGCAAGGTCCTGGAAAAAATTTTGAAGGAGAAAGTAGTTAAGGAAATTGAGGTCAATGGTAAATGGGACAAAATACAACATGGTTTTACAAAAGGTAGATCGTGTCAAACCAACCTGATCTCCTTCTTTGAGAAAGTAACAGATTTTTTAGATAAAGGAAACGCAGTGGATCTAATTTACTTAGATTTCAGTAAGGCATTTGATACGGTGCCACATGGGGAATTATTAGTTAAATGGGAAAAGATGGGGATCGATATGAAAATTGAAAGGTGGATAAGGAATTGGTTAAAAGGGAGACTACAGCGGGTCATACTGAAAGGTGAACTGTCAGACTGGAGGGAGGTTACTAGTGGAGTTCCTCAGGGATCGGTTTTGGGTCCAGTCTTATTTAATCTTTTTATTACTGACCTTGGCAAAAAAAGTGGGAGTGTGCTAATAAAGTTGGCGGATGATACAAAGCTGGGAGGTATTGCCAATTTAGAGAAGGACCGGGATATCATACAGGAGGATCTGGATGACCTTGTAAACTAGAGTAATAGAAATAGGATGAAATTTAATAGTGAGAAGTGTAAGGTCATGCATTTAGGGATTAATAACAAGAATTTTAGTTATAAGCTGGGGACGCATCAATTAGAAGTAATGGAGGAGGAGAAGGACCTTGGAGTATTGGTTGACCACAGGATGACTATGAGCTGCCAATGTGATATGGCCGTGAAAAAAGTTAATGTGGTCTTGGGATGCATCTGGTGAGGTATTTCCAGTAGAGATAAGGAGGTGTTAGTACCGTTATACCAGGCACTGGTGAGACCTCATCTGGAATACTGTGTGCAGTTCTGGTCATCTCCCAGTTTGAATTCATCCTTCTTAAACATGGAACAGGTACAGAGAAGGGCTACTAGGATGATCCAAGGAATGGAAAACCTGTCTTACGAAAGGAGACTCAAGGAGCTTGGCATGTTTAGCCTAACCAAAAGAAGGTTGAGGGGAGATATGATTGCTTTCTATAAATATATCAGAGGGATAAATACCGGAGAGCGAGAGGAATTATTCAAGCTCAGTACCAATGTGGACACAAGAACAAATGGATATAAACTGGCCATCAGGAAGTTTAGACTTGAAATTAGATGAAGGTTTCTAACCATCAGAGAAGTGAAGTTGTGGAATAGCCTTCCAAGGGAAGCAGTGGGGGCAAAAGTCCTATCTGGCTTCAAGATTAAACTCGATAAGTTTATGGAGGAGATGGTATGATGGGATAACATGATTTTGGCAATTAATTGATCTTTAACTATTCATGGTAAATAGGCCCAGTGGCCTGTGATGGGATGTTAGATGTGGTGGGATCTGAGTTATTACAGAAATTCTTTCCTGGGTATCTGGCTGGTGAATCTTGCCCACATACTCAGGGTTTCAGCTGATCGCCATATTTGGGGTCGGGAAGGAATTTTCCTCCAGGGCAGATTGGAAGAGGCCCCGGGGGTTTTTCGCCTTCCTCTGTAGCATTGGGCACAGGTCACTTGCTGGAGGATTCTCTGCACCTTGAAGTCTTTAAACCACGATTGGAGGACTTCAATAGCTCAGACATAGGTGAGAGGTTTATTGCAGGAGTGGGTGGGTGAGATTCTGTGGCCTGCATTGTGCAGGAGGTCAGACTAGATGATCATAAAGGTCCCTTCTGACCTTAATATCTATGAATTCTTTGCTCTTTCTTCAACACTGGACAGTGTCCCAGTTGTGGCCCCCTGGCAGACATCTACTTAGCAATGGTCACAAAAAAGATCTTTATTCTGCAGGGCTGTGCACAAGATCTTGCTGCACCCATGCTTTTCCTCAGCTGGCAATGAGATCCAGGATCTCAGCATGACTCTAAGCAGCTAAAGGCATGTTGTAGACTTTTGGAGTAATATCACAGCAATGGAGATACAGCTAAATCCAGGAGCAAATGGGCAAAATCAGGCCCTGCCTCACTTTTTAAATGAGAGAGGGAATATCTAGTCAATTTGATGGCAGAGCAGCAGAGTCACAGACAGGTCATTAACACGTAGCAGCTGGAGGACTGCCAAAGTAATGCATGGCTGCATTGTATGCACATGAATACAGAAAACTAATTCAATTCACATTAAGCACACTTTGGAATCTTCTTTCAATGTGGTGGGCTAACTGCTGGCTATTTCTTCTAGCCTTTTCTTTCCTAATTCCATTCTCTACAGGCCAGGTAGTGTCCAGGGAATTGGGTGCTGCTACCTTCCTTCCCATCTGGAGAGCAGCTGAGCTGTCGCTTGACCAGACTCAGCTTTGCCCAGATTTCTCTGCCCTTGCGCCTTTTCCCCACCCTCACTTGTCCCTTGCTGCTGCATGCCCAGCACATCCCTCTCCTTCGCTTGCCACTGTTAACTAACAAATGCTGGGCAAGTGGCAGGACTTCCTGATGGGCTAGGCACCAACCGTGCCCCAAAGGCACGTGCAGCTGACTAGCCCTAGGCCCAGGCTGTGCAGGCCTTAGCCTAGATAGCCACACCCATGGCCAGTGACTTTGGCCATGCAGCCGCTCATGGACCAGGAGGCAACACCAGTGACTCCTCCCAGTCCCTACAAGACCGCTGGGCAAGATTGCGGGGAGGGGGCAACGCGGATTGATCCCTGCGCCGCTCCATAGAGCAGGGGGCTGTGGAAGGGGCTTCTGGGAGTTGTAGTTTTCTGAGCTGCTCTTCCGGGCTCCGGCCGGTTTAGCGCTGAGGTTTGTTTGTTTTGCAGGCGGAGGGTGCCGATTGGTTAGTTACTAGCCAATCGCAGCGCTGGCTGAGCAGAGCCTGGGCCGCTGATAGGGCGGTGTTCCACCCCCTGCCCCTAAGCCGGACGGGCTCGGAGCGCTGCTGTTGCACTGGGGCTACCTCCTAGCTCGAGGATGCGGCTGCGCTCGGGGGTCTTCGCCGCCGGCTGCCTCCTGGTGCAGGCGCTCGGGGTGGGGCTGTTCCTCCGGGGCTTCTTCCCGGTGCCCGTGAGATCCCTGCCCTGGAGAGAGGCCCGCGGGGTTCCGCCCGCTGAGCCGCCCCAGCCCGGCGCAGGTAACCCTCCGTCCCGCGCCCGGCCCAGGTACCCCCCCCCCCATCCCGGGTAACCGCCTCAGCCCCCACCGCCCCCTCCGTCCCCCGCCCGGCCCAGGTACACCCCCCATCCCGGCTAACCGTCCCAGCCCCCACCGTCCCTCGCTCGGCCCAGGTACCAGCCCCCCCCATCACCTGGCCCAGGTAACCCCCAGCCCCGGCCCGGGCAATCGCTTCCAGCTCGGCTAACCGACCCCAGCCCCCACCGTCCGTACCGCGTCCCCCCCCATCCCGGGTAACCGCCACCACCTGGCCCAGGTAACCCACCGCCCCCAGCCCCGGCCCGGGTAATCGTTTCCAACTCGGCTAACTGACCCCAGCTCCCACCGTCCTCTCTGTCCTCCGCCCAGCCCAGGTACCCCATCCTGGGTAACCGCCACCACCTGGCCTGGGTAATCGCTTCCAGCTCTGCTAACCGACCCTAGCCCTCTCCGTCCCCCGCCCAACCCAGGTAAACACCCCCCCCCCCACTATTCTCTTCTTCCCCTCTTCGGCCCAGGTAACTCTTTTCCTCCCTCCCATCCGGCTCAGCCCAGGTTATGGTCCTCCCACCCTCCGCCCTCTTCTTCCCCGCCCGGCCCGGTTACCGCCCCCAGCCCTGTCCAGGTAACCAGCCCCAACTGTCCTCTCCTTCCTCTGCTGGGCCCAGCAGCTCTTTTCTCTTTTCCCCTTTCCCCCTCCCCCCAAATCGCTGACTTGGCCCGGCCTGGGTAACCCGCCCCCGCTGTCCTCTCCTTCCCTGGCCTGGGTCAGGTAATTTGCTGGCCCATTCTGCACCTGGCTTGGGTATCCGGCCTGCCCCTTCCCCCAGCTGGCCTAAGTAACCTGGACCTCCCTCCCCTCCCCCATCTCCCGCTTGGTCTGGGTAACCCTTGGTCCCTCCTTCCCCTGCCTGGCCAGGTAATCACCCCTAGCTAGGTATAATCCCCTCCTCTACCTGCCACTGTCTTACCCGTTCAGTCCTTCCACTATCCTGTCTAGGTAAGCAGCCCATTCCCCCCTTTTTCTTTCTCTGGTCTGGTCCAGTCCAGCTGACTGGTTCCCCCCAACCCTCTTCTTTTTTCTCCTGGCCTTGCCTAGGTAGTCAGTTCATCTTCCACTCCGCCTACCCCTGCTTGGCCCAGGTAACCAGCCCCTGTCCCACTTCCCAATCCCCAGCCCAGGTAACCTGCATAGGTAACCGTGCCCCCATCCCCTGCCTTGCTGGGCCCTTGCTCACTTTTTCTTCTTGACAAACCTTGTCAGATCTAATTATTGAAAGCAAGAAAATCCTGAGGTGCATCATTAGCATGTGCACATGGAGAGCCTGCCCTCGCTCCTTGCACTATTTTTGTACATGGATCACACTCACCCATGTTCATTTGAGACGTTAATTCCTTTCCATCACAGGCTCCCTATGTTTGCCATGGTCCCTGTACCTTTTATTATAACAGCTCTATTCATATTGTTCTGATTAACAGCTTGACAGCAATTCCATTATTAAATCCTTTTACAGGTGGTTAGAATTTGGCTTTAAAAGCTTGCTTTGGGCTGGAAGCTGCAAAATAAGATCCAGGATCCTAAGTGTTTGGGGTGTTTTTGGTGTATTTGGTTTTATGATTCATGAGAAAGAATAAAGCCAGCAGGAGCTGAGGCACTGGCAGAGGAAAGAAAATAAAGTTTAATTTGATTGGTCCTTTGTCTCCCTATCAGCTGGACAAGAAGTAGCAGTGGTAGCCTGGGCCACAGCTGAGCATGGAGCAAGCTGGGCTCTAATGGCTGCTCTGGGCCAGCCATCAATGAGACCCACCCCACCACCTTAGTCCACCAACCCCCCTATTCCCCAGGGGATAGGATGCCCACCCCCTCCCTGTGCCTCTCTGGAATGGGATTGGACTGCTAGCTCCCCACACGGAGGTGGAAGTGGGGCTGCTGCCACAGCTTTTTGCTTCTGTGAATCTTGACTGCTTTTGTTACGTTGTCCCTGGCTGTGAAGAGTAAGACCGTATGATTAGTACTTGTTTCAGTTGAATCCCTATTTATTTTGTTCTTTACATAACAATATATAAAAGCACAGGCACAAAGGGATTCCAGATAACCATATTTTCTAAATATACATAACATACAAGGAAGTTGTATATAAAAACTACTAGCTGGCTTCTAAAACATAAAATGCAGTGGTAGCCACTTGAGGGCTCACAAGCCGTTTTACCCCATTTCTATTCACTACATCTAGCACTTCCCCACAATGATGGGCACCACTGCAGGTCAGTGCATTATTGGGACCTAAGTCAGACTAAAGACCGTGTGGACTGAATCTTTTGATTTCCTGAAGCCAAGGTGGATATGGATAGACATAGGTTCCAGCTGCAGGCGACCTAAAAACAGTATGGTCCTGTCTTGTTTACAATGAAAACCAGAACATGCACAGTCAAATACTGGTACTAGACTAGAATTTCAAATCTTGAAAATGTGGGCTGACTTTCTAACTTTAAATTGCTGTCATTGGCAATTATAACTATTGCAGGAATCTTATGTGAAGTTTGAGAAGTGCTGATCATTTTTGTTGTGGACTCTTAACTTGCATTGATGATCTATACATTTTATGTTTACTTTTATTTTAGGAGTGACTTCTAATTGGACCAAGATTCCATCACCTCTCTTCAAAAAAGTGGTCATTGTGTTGATAGATGCTTTGAGAGATGATTTCGTGTTTGGATCAAAGGGTAAACAGTTCATGCCCTACACTACAGAACTTGTTGAAAAAGGAACATGCCACAGTTTCATTGCTGAAGCAAAGCCACCCACTGTCACCATGCCTCGAATTAAGGTAAGCAGTCCCATTTTGGTGGTTACTCCCGAGTCTCATTGTGTCCTACCCAGTCAGGGATTCAAGTTAACATGACACCTTGTTGTCCTTGCCCTAGTGTCACAGGAGTTGAGAATGGAAAGGAGGTTATCTTCCCATCGCTTACAGCGATACTTGAACGACTGTAGTTCTACCCTTTATAGGCTGAAGAGGAGGATTGGTGCTCTGGAGGGATTCTCCTTTCTATTTGTAAAGTAAAGTTTGAAGTTTATTTTTGAGCATTGGGGGCCAGTCCTACTCCTACTGATTTTAATGCGAGCTCTTCTGTCATTGATTTCAGTGGGAGCAGGATAGGGCACTGCTTGAGTATATTACTCTTTCTAAAGTATTAAGAAAGATTTTTCCTTTCTAATTGATAATTAGGAGAGCTTTTTCTTTAGCTTTAGGAAGGGCCTATAGCTTTGGAGCTGTAGAACCAGAATTTTAGGCCCAAAGGTGCAGGTTGGTGGATTACTATGAAGAGTGTAGCCTTCTTGGCATCAGTTCATTCAGATGCTGATCTAGGTATAGTTACATTCGTGTGATGGCATGGGTTGTCTTTGGAAACTGAGATATAGTTCGTTGTTTTTGGCATGCTGTTAGCAGCAGAGTCTGTGGTACCTCACCATTTCTTGAAATCCTTACTCATAGATATTAAACTGAGGAGAGGCAGGTTAGATCTCTCTCTTGCCCCCCAGGTATCTACTTTTGGAGATAGGCTACTGCTCCTATCGCCACTGCCTGGGTCCTGATGGAAAGAATAATTGAAGTCATTGTAACACACTGAATAGTTGACTTCCAATATACTCAATAAATGAGTGAGCAGCACCTTTCTATGATTGTCTGAGGCTGTGGAGGGAGTTAGTATGAGCATTGATAAATGGCCAGTACCCATTGCAAAGAGGAGACAATCATTAGCAGTGCTAGGATCATCTGCGCTGTGTCCTGGTCTGAAGCCAAGATTCTTCAGCATCCAGGATGCCTGAAGATGTATTGTTTTTCTGGAGCTTCAGTGTTTCTTGCTAGGAAAGGGAGGCTGAATGTGGGCAATAGTTGGAGAGGTTTGCTCCTCTGAAAGAGGTATTAATTATTTTTCCCAGCACAGGACACAGTGTTTCCTTGCTGGCTTTCACCAGAGAGGGTGTGGTGGGAGACACTAGCTCTGTTCGGCAGGAGTGGTGACTTGAATGTTTTTCATATTCTGGGGTTTCATTGTACATGACAGGTCCAAACTCCATCAGAAGTAGCAGAGAGATTAATATTAAATGGTCTAGTTTAGGAAGGTCAGCCTTTGTGAGTTTCTTTCAGATTTAGTTGATCTTTTCTGTAGAATAGGTTGAGAGCTCTTTGCAGTAGTCAGCGCTTGGGTCCAGCGATTGGTTAGTTCGCTGGACAAAATTGTTCTGCCATCCATGATTTTATGGTTTTTATGGACTAGAAGTAATGTTCTTTACTGTGGCAGCATAGTTATGCAAAAAGTCTGTTGCTTGTGGGTGCATTCTGATCGGATTGTGGACACGGGTGTATTTGTGTACTTCAACTGATTTAATCTGGTGGTGAACCACGCCAAGGTGATCATTGGAGCTGATTTGGGGTTAAGCCACTGGCAGTTTTTGATGCACGGTGATTGTATTACTCTACCAGCTTGTTGCCCAGTGGTCTTATAGTTGGGTGATATACTTTCCTATGATGATCTGAAAACATCTAAGATAGTTGGGGATAGAGAAGCCTCTGATCTTTACCTGGCTGACAGGGTTTGTTGGACCAGGAGAGCAGAGTGCTCGGTCCCCAATGTTCACTCCAACTTCGAAGATCAGATTCAGTGTGACTCGTCAGGTAGTCTGAGAGAATTCCCCGATAATCTTGGGGACAGAAGGTTGTGTGCTAGGGAGTTGTGGTTTCTGTTTAAATGTAAGTTACAGTGAGTCATTGAAACTTCAGCCCGATTGTAGGCATGAAGTCTATTACAACTAAATATTAGCTCTCCAATGTCTCTGTGATGTTCTGCTTAAGGTACCCAGAACTGTAAGCTACTGCATTACCCCCAATCAACTTCAGCAGGAGAGACCGTTTGCTGCTGCTTTGACATGCCACTTCTTCTACCTTGCTAGGCCAAATCTTTCCTTGCAGGTAACTATCAAAGAACTCCAATTCACAAGTTTCCCAGAGACATCTCTCTGCAACGTCCAGTCCCTTTCACTGGGTACTCTTAGAAATTAAGTTTGCTGCCTCCAAAGAGTGCACGGCAGCTTACTAGTTTAGTTGAAGACTCAAAATTCACTTTAATATATGACACTGAGATTTTTTTATAATAAAACCAGAATAAGCTTTTTAAAAGAGAACAGCGTGATAAGTAGAATAAATAAGTAGAATAAGTGATAAGTAAGAATAAAAGAAACAAATGTGGTTATAAGTAAAACAAAATAAAACCCATTTTCTGGTGACTAAAACTTAATTTCAGCAAGTTACTATCTTTGTGTAAACAGATTTCTAACCTATATTACTTGAGGTCTGCTTCAGACTCCCAGGATCTGAAATGGATAAAGACCTTTTTAATATTTTTAATGAAATAAATTTCTGGGAACTGTGTGATCTTGGAGAATGTTAATTTCTCAGATATAGATTGGAGGGCAAGCACTACTAATAATGGTAGGGCCCAGATATTCCTGGATGTGATAGCTGACAGATTCTTCACCAAATCAAAAAGAGGTAATTTTGTTTTGGTAAGTAGCAAGGACCTCACAGAAGAACTGGTTGTAGAGGACAACCTTGATTGGAGTGATCATGAGTTAGTTCAGGTTCAGCTAAGGATAAACAAAATAGGTCAGTAACTGGGGTCCTTGATTTCAAAAGGGCAACTTAAAAAAATTAAGGGAATTACTTAGGGAAGTGGACTGAACTGAAGAACTCAAAGATCTGAATGTGGAGCAGGCTTGGAATTACTTTAAGTCAAAGTTACAGAAACTATCTGGAGCCTGCATCCCAAGCAAGGGGATAGATAAAAAATTGTAGGGAAGGGTTGCAGATCAAATTGGATGAATAAGCATGTCAGACAAGTTACCAAGAGAAGGCAAAAAGCTTACAAGGATTTGAAGGGATGGTTCAGCATGGAATGCTGCCTTCTGGAGGTCAGAAAGTCCTCTTGGATGATCTTGAAAACTGGAGTAATAGAAATGGGATGAAACTTAATAGTGCAAAGTCATGCATTTAGGGACTAACAAGAATTTTTGCTGTAAGCTGGGGAGATATCAGTTGGAAGCAACAGAGGAAAAAGACCTGGGTGTATTGGTTGATCACAGAATAACTCTGAGTTGCCAGTGTGATGCGGCTATGAAAAAGGCTAATGTAATCCTCGGATGCATCAGATGAGGTATTGCCAGTAGAGATAAGGAGGTGATATTACCGACATACAAGGTGCTGGTGAGACCTCATGTGGAATTATGGGTTCAATTCTGGTTTCCCATGTTTAAGAAAGATGAATTCTAACTGGAACATGTGCAGAGAGGGACTACTAGGATGATCGGAGGAATGGAGAACCTACATTATTGCAGGAGACTTAAGAAGCTTGGCTTGTTTAGTCTAACAAAACAAAGGCTGAGGGGGAAATATGATTGGTGTCGATAAATAAAGAGGGATAAATACCAGGGAAAGAGAGCAATTATTTAAGGGCCAATGTTGGCACTGGTACAAATAACTATAAACTGGCCATCAACAAGTTTAGGCTTTAAATTAGATGCAGGTTTCTAGGCAGCAGAGGAGTGAAGTTCTGGAACAGTCTTCCAAGGGTAGTGGAGGCAAAAAAATCTAACTTGTTTCAAGACTGGAGGGGATGGTATTGTCCGTGATGACTTTTAAAAAATATCTCCAACCTTCGGAGATGGGACGCTGGATGGGGAGGGCTCTGACTTGCATCTGAAAATTCTTTCCCAGGTGTCTGGCCCAGATGCTCAGGGTCTAACTGATCACCATATTTAGAGTCAGATTCTCCCCCAGGTCAGACGGGCAGAGACTCTGGGGTTTTTTGCTTTCCTCTACAACTTGGGACATGGGTCACTTGCTGACTTGCGAACTAGAATAAATGGTGGATTCTCTGTAACTTCAAGTCTTTAAACCAAGATTTGAGGACTTTAGGAACTCAGCCAGAGGTTAAGGGTCTGTTACAGGAGTGGGTGGGTAAGGTTCTCTGGCCTGCGATGTGCAAGATGTCAGACTAGATGATCATGATGGTTCCTTCTCACTTTAAAGTCTGGGTCAGTTTCCTGCTTTTCTTTCCTTCCAGGCCAATAGGATCTGGCTTTCATAGGCTCACAGGGCACTGAACCCTGAGTCACTTCAGTGATGGATAACTAAAATGTCTTTGTTCCTGCTTATATTAGTTAGTTGTCTCTGTTTAAAGAGCCATGAAGATTTCCTTGAGTGCAGATTTGGTCCCATGGTGTGATTGTTAAGCAGTCTTCTCCCCTGCTTGTTTAGCTTGATGGCTTTGTTTACCTTTATATATAAATGTGAATGCATTGTCCTCTGCCTGTGATTACACTGATTAGAAAAGTGCACATTCCTTGGTCTAGGGCAGGCTGGTCTTATGTGCTTCCTGCTAAACACATTTTAGAAATCTATTTCCAGCACACATCTCAAACTCTTTCTATACACTTTGTAACTGTACCACATAGTGATTTTTGGGACCAGCATGTTACCAGGTTGCATATGATCCTTCGCGTGACACCTTTTAAATGCAGATTATGACAACCATGTGTTGTGGCAATGTGTGTCAGGCCTGATGTGAGTTATAGTATGGTGTGCCATCTGCCAGTTGGTATTGAGGGGCACCCAGGCTCACAGTCATACTCACTGCTATTAAACTCCCGGTACATTAGTCTCAAACAGCAATTGTGAGTACTTCATGAAAAATGTAATTGTTTAAATATATTGTCCGAACAGTATCTGTTAAAAGATGCTGAAATCAAGATGTTGAAATCTTTAAG